ATATTATAAAATTAAAACGTACTAGACAGAAACACAGTGAAAACTAATATAAAAAGAATTCTGCTGATTTTAAGTATATCTTACAATTCAATTAACTTTTTTCTAAAATGAAGTGGTCTTTTCTCTAATGATAACTTTTCATGCCTTTCGAGCGATTGAAAGTATGCGATCTCGAAATTTCCAGTAAAACACGCGTATATAAATGAACGCGTGTAGCAGGTAATTCGCATTCAAACCGGTTGAGTATTTCGTCATTGCGGATAATTGCCAGACACATTACGTGCGATACGCGAGTGACGCACTTCAAAACGTATTGGTGACGTGCGACTAACTGAATCACATCAATGAAAACCCAGAGTGATGCGAAATTTCGAATGACGTCGCTATCGTCGAACTCCCCGATAGGTACGTCATCGTTGCACTTGTGTAAGAAAGTAACCGACGTAAACGTGATGCTGAACAAAAGAGACCAACAACAGGACGCGTTCCGCTCATGCGATGTTTTGACGGGGAGTCCATCGTGGAAAAAAACATCGACGTCTCGGAGCGGATGACGTCACGATGCTCGGCGTGTAGCATTCCCAACGAAGCATATTCTCACCATTTAAATTGCTTTAACCTAATCTTCTAATCTTCTCTTTTTTTACCGTTCAAAAATTCGTGGAAAAGATGTGTAATCGTACTTTCACTTTTGACAATATAGTATTCCGATGATTCATCATTCTATTAATAACAGCGACCGTAACTCAACGATTGATAACTGTTGGAAATAAAGGCTACTTATGTTTGAGCACGCACTACATAATAAGAGGCTTTGTAAGTGTTAAGTTATAGACTCATCGTTTCGAGTCGATTTTCAAAAATGCCTTACGGCCCAAGTTTAGGTCTAACAAAAAAAAATCCTTAATTGCGTTCCAATATCGTCGTCCCGCATTTATTTTCCTCGACATTCAACTTGAAATAGGAAAGTTAATATTTAGTTAAATTTAGATAAAGTGCCGTTAAAATGTAATAAATAACTAACACTTCGAAGATTATACTTGCGAGTGGCAAAGCAAATATAAAGATCAAAAATAACAACAATTTCGACAAGGTCGAGAGAAAGAAAAGGAAAATATCTAGTTTCACGGACGATTATGCTTTGTCAAAGAACAAGGTTCTTGTTTCGCAAGAGTTATTTAAGGAAGTATATACATGTATACATGAGATGCAGTTCGATAGATTCAAGATATTCCCTGTATGCTATTATGTTATTATTACTACATGTTGCGCAAATTAAAATCGAACCGCGTGTTGTATGAAAGAACCTTTCGAGTTATTACGACCGGCTTGTGCGTCGCATTACACAACACCGGGGCAAAAAATCTCAAGCGAAATTAAATACTACTGTTTCGCGTAGCCCGTTTCTCTTCGCCCACTTCTCTTCGCGTCTGAAACGGTGGTACGACATGCACGAGACGAAAAACGTGATGTTGCAAGAAAGCACCAGACCTCCGACTGAGCATAACGTTGCTCTATCAGCCACATGGTACGCCCATGCACTTTCTGTACACTCCCATAATAATGGATACATATTACATACGCGTCTGCCCAACACTTGGCTAAGTCTTTGTCTTCCTTCTTATGCTCTTTTACTATACGTATCATTTGGGTATCATTTCATAGCGTAATGAAGATGGTGTAGCTCCTTTTTTAGATCTGCACCGTCTTGTCCAAACATTGCAAATTACTTTCAAGTTAATAAATGTTATCATACTCGTATTCGTGTGCGAGTAGTAATCTTTATTTCGCAAGAGAATCGAAGTGAAAACAGAAAAGGAAGACGAGCATAAATCATAAACGATGGGAGCACACCCGACTAATTTATTGGCTGATTTGGAAAGTATAGAAATTTCACACTTAATCATATATGCTTGTATAAAGCTACAATGAAAACAGGCATCGACGTCTCTCTTTCTCTTTTTCACGCGCACACGTTCCACAAAGAGCCCGCATGTCCCGGTCTGATATCTCTGTATAGCTCGACCACCATGACGAAAACTGATTCCCATTAGCCCGTTATATTTAGCAACATGAGAATCTGTTCGGGGTTGGAAACACCACCTTCCCTCCTCCCTACCTATGAGATTCGGCAGCTCACCCTCATATGCCCGTATGTTACGATGCATACCATGACATCCCCTAATTGGACAGAAGTCAGGCTTTTTATGTTTGCCGCGTACGGTCGATCGTATGCGCGATAAGCAACTAAAACTTTTCACATGACAGATAAATTGATACCTTTGCTTCATTATCGCATGGAACTTTCGAACTTCCCAAAGTGATATCCGACGAGTTTCAAAGTTTTTATATATTTAGTCTCAGGCATCGTTCACTGGAGATAATTGCTCTACTCATAAAAACTGTTCTAATCTCTCTACTTATGATTTAGAAAAATAAAAAGTCTATAAGCCATTAACCCTCAAGCGGTTAAAAAAAGAAATCTCGAAATATATTCAGCAATTATTATATAAGAGAAGAATATTTTCACTTCGTTGTACATTGTTCGGTGGAGAAAATGTCATCGCTTTCACATCGACGCGATAAATTTCTCATCCACGATCGGTGGTATAAGAAGATTACACGTCCGTTCGTCTAATCACTTTATACCTTAGATACCGTACATCCAGGAAGCATATTGTATTCCAACGAATTCCAGGGGTTCATCTAGTCATCCGTAGATGTATAAAGATAATGACTGTACGATCAAATAATCTATAAATCTATAAATCTCTATGTTCGACGCAACATAATCGACAAACAGCAATTTTAACAGTCGAACAGCAATTCCTTCAAAGTTAATTATATTCTAGAAGCGACTCTCTTCGTAGTTAAGCAAGTAAACGTAGTAACAAAAGTCACGACGAGGAAAGTCCGTGCTGTGGTTTTAGAGATCTTCAAGTGGCAAACAATCAATTTGTCACAATATAAACTGATCGATTAGACCGAGGATCGTAATAATTATCGCTAGACATTTAATCCATAAATTATTTTTTTCCTCGTCGAGAGAGGTTAACTGTATCGTAATCGAACGTGCTTGCTGCACGTTCGACCTTTTGGCCGGCACTTGACATTGCGCCTCCGTGAAACCGGCGGGAGTCTCACTTCCCACTCGTGCGACCTCGCGCGACCGAACTTCCGGCTTTCCCTTCGCGAAATGTCACTTCCTTCTCCGATTAATACAACAGCATCGTTAGCACGTGCGATTCAATGAGAAAGGAAAAAGAAAAAAAGAAGAATAAACGTTCCTGTTTGCATGGTTAGTTGGAAAAGAAACGACGGGTTATAATTATGGGCCAAGCATGAGACACTTTCTCCAAACCGACGTGTGCATTCTTTTCACTTTCATTTTATCTTACACGGAGGAAAAAATATTTCAAAATTTATCCGTGGAATATAAGGTTTATTTCTAGGATATAAAGTTTATTTCAGAAAAATATGTCTTATATCCTAAAAATAAACTTTATATCTCACAAATAAATTTTTAAGTATTTCTTCTCAGTGTACATTTTTGTACAAATGAAAGATCATTTATTATTTGAAAATTTTACCATAAAGGATTTTTAATGAATCGACATTTTCAAAGTTTCAAACACGACAAATATATTATAGGTATACGGAAGTTGTTAATAACTCTATACAATTATCGTAATTATTAATAATTACACATACAGACAGTGTATGTATAAATAATAGATCTACTCGCGGACGGATTAACTTCCAAAATATTATTTCGATTGAAAGGCCGTTATTAAATAACAAATTATGCACTTTTGATGAGAAATATTGACAATTAGTCAACATTTCTAAGTGAAGATGAAATTGACTGATTTTAACAGCAGTACTATTAACATATTTCGAAACGTATGCCTACATTGTGCATCCTAATATATATGCGCACTGATATCTCTATTCTTTTCTCTTTCTGTTTATTGGGTTAAGTTTGATAACAGTGATCATAACTGTGAGCTAGCCCTTTGAAAGAGACTGCTTATTTGTTCCTCCGCGTATCGAAAGTTTCCCCCACTATTTGTACATAAATTACCTCCAATAAAGGTGTCGTCATTCTACTATCGTCTACTCTCGGCATTACCGGCTACAACAATTTGCGCGCGAAACTCACTTTCGGCGAGCAGCAAGCATGAACGACTTCTCACATTCACGCTGCGGCGCTACAATCTGTTTTGTAAAAAATCGCAGCTACGGTAACGGTTGCGATTCCCGAAATATCGATTATCGAAATATTTCGCGCCGAACCGAGGTTCTCAGTTACCACGGTCGATTTACTTATGAAGATCACGCAGCTCAATTTGTGCAAGATACTCAAGAAATAATCGTGATATTCGACGTATTGGAGTAAACGATGTCGTTAAAATGTGATTAAAGGGTCGTGATTAACGGGTCTACGACTCGGGAAACTATTCGACACTCGGCAACTTCGCGTCGTTTCGTGAATGTTTCGCCATTGTTACGCGTTCTTCTGTTACTTGTCGATAGCAAATTTCGCGTACGAACGAATATACCGTCGAATTCCATGAAAAGATGTCTAGGTAATAGCGAATCATGAAATGCAGTGACGCGTTACGATAACAACATGTTCCAAAACATTGACGCTTCTTCACGCTCAATCTGCCGTCAATCTGACCGATGCTGTGAGCCACGGCAGAGGGACGCGAATCCGTGACCACCCCAATCTCAGTCCAATCGGGTACTTGCGAATTGTTAAAGCTGCGAGTCGAAAAGAAGAAGAAGCGTACACGGGTCCGTCGAACGACGATGGAGCCGGTGCGCCGAAGGGAACGTGTTCCAGGATTGGTCTGGTGAGCTCTGCGTAGTTGCCAAGTTAACGCGGGGTTCCCTCTCTCTCTTTCCTCAACGAACGTCCCGCGATTGGCTATCGCGACGGTGCCTCCTCGCGCGCCCGCACGTCGACTCCTTGTATCGCCAGCCAGACTCTGCGCGCACCGTTCAGTTCGCATTCGGAGGTTCTGCGGGCAATATAACCTCTGCGCGTGTAAAGCAAGGGCAGGAGAAAGAAAGAGAGAGAGAAAAACACACACACGTAGAAGGTCCCCAACGTTTACTTCTACGGCAGAAAGAGAGAGAGAGAGAGTGGTAGCCGCGATCGACGGAGTCAGCGAACGAAAGTGCCAAGTTCAAGTTCGTAACGCGCCCCGCTCGACAAGTACCGCTCGCGGCGTTGACGACAACACGACGAAACGACGACGCAGCAGCATAACGAGCAGGATCACGATCGATCGTGAAGTCAATACGCGGTAGATCCCTGCCAGGCGGCTGCAGCACGAGCCACACGCGCGTTTCCTCGCTCGCTCGCTCGCTCGCTCACTCACTCACTCGGCCGTCTGATTCGCGTTAGTCTTCCACTTTTCGTACACTCGCGCGGTCCGTTCTCCATTTTGGGTTTTATCAGCGTTCCGATACACGCGTACGGGATACGCGCGTACCGTTTTACGCGTGGGTGCTTCTAATGCAAGCTACGTATAGCGACGCGTACGGTCGGAGTGGCAGTTCTTTTGTGTTCTCCTGAGGAGAAGTTCTTCGGCAGTCCACGAGTCTCCACGTGTTGACAACGATTTCCGACGATTCCCAGGCACTGCCGCTATTTTGCTGCTACTTTCTCCAGAAGCCCCGCTGTCAGGAACGAAAAAGATACGAGTCGGGCGCGAGGAAGAAAAGAGAGAAAAAGGAAGAGAAAGAAGGAGCAGACCCCTTTCGGATACACGGTGTGTTTTTGTGTGCGAAACCGACGACATGTCGACCGCCGTAATGAGCAACGCTATGTTCGATTGCACCGAACATCTCTTTAAGGTAAGCATTGGCGGTTCTAAGTCTACGACTTGTCTCGATTCAGTTTCACGCACGTATTATCGTCGTGTACATTCTATTTAAGCAGCCACTCATTACAAATAAACATTCTATTCAGACTTCATTGAAACGTCGCTTATCGCCATACCTGAATTTTTTGGAGTAAGAGCGCTCGAAGAGTAAATTTCATCGAGGGCAAGCTTAATCTACAGAATGTACGATGGGCGGGACGAAGTAAAGATGTGGTATCGCGATGCTCCGACTTCGCGGAATATATTAAGAGTATGCGAGTTTGAATGTTAATTTTCTTCCCTCGCCGAGTCGCGGGATTGCCAAGTTTTCGAATTCATCAAGACGGAATATGCATATACATATCGTTGCGCAACATTTTTGTTTGAAATCAAAACTTAGGTTCGCGATGTGTCTGTCTTTTAATGCCGTACACGTCATACGAACCACGTCGAGCGCTTTTATTTTTTATTGTATAATCGTGAGCGAACGCACGGCTGTTATCTTCGAAGTTCGCCTGGCGATCGTGAGTCAAGTTATCATGCTACGTATTTATTTAGCCACGAGGACAACCGCGTCGAGCGCGGTAAGAACAAAATGAGCGAGGAGACGTGTGTGCGAAGCGTGCGCGCGACAATGGCGAAGTGCTAATTAACAGCAAGATATTTCTCTCGCAATTTGTGACATTGACTTCACGCGCGCGCGCAGCCGTCCGAAATTGCGAGAGATCCAAGAATCTCTCTACGTTTACTTCTCGCGTTATTTCACGAAACGCGCTGAGCGAGACCAATCCGGCACGCAACGATCGTGTGTTCCCCCATGAATTATTTACGAGATATGATCGAAAAAAGAAATATTAACGTCGCCGACGCATGCGTCGCCGGGACGGCATTAACAATTCCCGATGTTATCGTTACGGGACGAATTCCACGCTGGTCAGATTGGATCTCGTTTTCACATTAGTCGCGTTCGCAATATTTCCGAGGACGCGGCGTCGGTACACGCGGAATCATGATGTGTTGCGCGCGGCAAATTTACGAACGAGCTCGAACACGAAATCACATGGAAATATTCGGTATCTGAAAAATTTTCCCTACAAACTATCGCCGTACGCATGCATTATATTTAAATAGCACTATATTCGTCGATGATAGACTTTTCTCGTCGACATTTATGGACGGATTATTTATCGCGTCGACGGCAAACCCGTCGTTTCTTGCAATTACATTCGTCATTAAGGTTGTCGCTTTACTATCAATCAACGTTCAATATTGTTGCACAATCTTACCGACTGGGACAAACATTGAGACACTTTGATAATGGCGATAAGAAAATCTTTAATCTGTAAATTTCACAGATCGTTAGCATAACTAAGCTGAAAAATATACGTCATATACATGCATAAGTAGTGACATAATAATTATTTTTTTTTTTAAGTCGAGAATAGAAAAATGATTAGAATTAGTTCGAGAAATTTAAATAGAAGGCCCACTGACATGGTTATTTTTAGATCGTCATTTTACACTCGAAAAACAACAGATTATGATCATATGTTTCTGTGTGAAAATTATTATGTTAAATTTCCCGTTTATTGCAATGATTATCATTATCCTCCTCATATCTTCCAAGATATATATAATCTTTCGAAACATCGACATTTTTCACCGATAAGTGTCAATTACTGATATCTCGAGTCAAGTTGCGATACGATACAACACAGCAATATTTTCGAAATCTTTGTCATCCTCATTAACTGAAGTTTTTTCTCAATAGCTCCGTGACTGGTTAAAGTGATTATTCGTGAATTTATTGCTAGTTTATCTAATATATGCGTAAGTAATATAATCTAAAAAAGAATAAAAGAAGCACTTTCGACCTGTATGATTAACTTCACAAAGGATTCGCATAAATCCTCATGCAGAAGTCGTCGTCAATCTGTAAACAGGTTTCGATTTGGATAAGATATAAAAATGAATACGCGTTAATGACATTAGATTTCTTAATAATCGAAACTGCCTCTCGGTCGTACGTGGTTCGTAATCGTTGCTAGTCAAGCCGACAAATTCTCTGTTTCGCATCGATAAGTCGAAAGGCCTTTATCATTCGGACGGTCGCGCGGGAACATCGCGCGCGATGTAAATAAAGCCGAGTACACACTGAGCGAACGAACAACGAGTGCAAGTTTTCGTTGTTACAATTTGGAAAATGTGTGCGTTATAATGAATCCGAACAAAACGTTTCGATTTGTTCATAAAATGGTTTGTAAAAGAAAGTTCGTACGTGTTTAAATGCGAATATACGCATTCATATTACACATTCGTTGTTCGTTCGTTGTTCATACGCTCAGTGTGTATCCAGCTTAAAAGGCCGTCGCGAGTCGAGCTAAGGGAGACTCTCACCTTAGAGAGAACCAGGCACAACACTCTCTTTTCTCTTCCGACGCGAGTTTCTCTGTGTGATGCGATCTAGTCTCCCTGGCTGAGTCTCTCACCGAGTCTCACGACGCACCCGTGGATTCGAGAGGAAACGCGGCGTGGTCGAGCGATATCGATATTTGCTGACGCTCCGATATCGACCGTGTACCGTCAGGCGAATCGAGCGACCGACGAAGGCTTCGCCTGTGTATACTTTACTAATGGCGGGATGATTGGAGATACTTATATATTTCAAATATATTTTTGTCATATACGCAGATAAATATTGTATTTTATCATTTTGTTGAATTTCATTAAACTATGAATACTAATTAGTGGATATGTTGGTGTGATGTTATTAATATCACTGTTTATAAATATATCGGAAAAGATATTTCCAATTTTTAATTTACGTTACATAGTGAATTGTCCGAGGATCACTTCCGACACACTCGCTGGCAGCGTAGCAAAATTCGATTACGATCATTTGCACTTGAACTCTAAATTTGAACAGAGAACAACATATTGTTGTATAAACAGTAACTAACTTTGTAATTTATTTTACTGTAGAAAGAAAAACAACGGAAATCGTCATGCCAGTCTCCGTTGTCTGATTAAAGATATACAAGTCACAGTTCAATTTGACACGTGACTCACCCGGCTCCGTTGTATTCAAAATGATAGGCTATTGTAATTCCTGCGTTTTTGACATACGATCCATTTATCATACAATTATTTATTAACTTTACATTACTTAGTTTCTCAAGGTTTTTCGAACGGTGCGTCGTATTTCGCTTTTGCAAGAATCAACAACTCAGTTGTCTATATATAACGTAATACAGAGATAAATTAAGCATATTAATTCGAGTTATTTTATACACGGCGTGTTCAAAGTATTATCAGCACGGAAAAAAGGAATTAGCTGTCCATATAATACAACTGAAATTTATTTACCAGATCTAGCTTTTAGCTATGAGAGCTAAAAATTAGGTAGGTATGGAGACAAAAAGAATTATCTAGGTTAACTAAATTTCAGTTGTATCATATGGACAGCTAATTTTTACCCGTGTACCGAGAAAAAAATATAGTTATTTTCGGAGAGACACCAATATTCTTTTTTTATTTTAACCGCAAAATAGAAGAAACATATAAAATATATAAAATTATTATCATTGATACTATGGTAACACTTACTAGAAAAATAGTTCTCTTGACTATTTTTGTGGTAAAATGAAAAAAAAAAGATATTATTGTCCCCGAAAATAACTATATTTTTCTCTCAATGTGAGAATTAGGTTTTAATTGTGAGCATTATTTTTTCTATGAGGGATACAGAAAGATTGATATTTAACACGGAGCCTTTCAATGTCCATTTCTACCCGCACGGTCGCAATCTTCGATGATGCGTTTCTTTACTGATCACGACTGTGCTTTCGCTTTTGGCGGTATTGTTTCCGTGTTTCGTCTTGGATTCTCTACGAAGAAGCGTGGCTCGACGAGAATTCGTGCGCTCGGCGACCAGCGGAATCGCGCTGGTACTTGGTGGTACCGCTTGCACTCGCACGTTCGCGCGCAGTACATGTGTGTTGGTGCGCGTTGGATTAACAAACGCACATTCTCGTTTGCGTTCTGGCTATTTCGTTCCAACCGTCCGTTCCGTTTCTGTGGTCGATAGAGGGACAAAAAGTAGATTTTTATTAAACTCCATACTTGACATTTCCCTGTCGATACGCACTGGCAAGAAAACACGAATGTTTAACGGATACGAGCGCGAAGACATTGACACTTTCACTGCCGAAAGACGCTTGCCGGCCGGTCTTCGGTTTCTCAAGGAATAAGCCGAGAGCGCCGATAGACGCTCTCATTATTTGCCTGCGAGCGTTCAGTACGCTCGCAACCTTCGAATGACGACATTCATCCTGTCCCCGACATTGCTATGAAGAAAATAACTAACTGCTCACGAACGTTCTCGATTACGGAATTCTTGATCGATAATTTTGTGACGTTTCAATTGACAGTTTCTAAGTGACAGTGTTTAACAAGCCGTTGTTAACGAACAATATGAGTTGTACACACCCTAATTGTAATAAGGAGACACATGCAACAACGGTGGGTAATGTTGTTTTGACAGCATATGGCGCTATTTTTCACATATTGATGATGATTCTCTCTTCTCATACACAACCGACTACGTAATACATTTGAAACGAATAATTTAGAACGAATCGTATCAATTTTCGCAATGATTCTTTTATTCGAAGATATTCTCAATATTTATTTGTATGACTCCTAAAACGATTGAAGATCACAAACCGAAATATATACAATGAATAAGAAAAAAAAATGTGTTTACTTAGTCCATTCTGTGTGAGAATTTTGCACGAGATGAGAAATATTACCACAATATGTTGTTGTTCAATATATTATCACAAGCGAAAACGATATATTCTGATGGAAATTTTATGGCAATGGTTTCCTCTTTCGGTTTAGGTCAATCCTAAAATATACTGTAAAGATACTTCGATTACTCATCGTATAAATTTCCAGTAAACTTACCAACCTAGATGCATAATAGATTAG